AACCAATTAACCTAGCAGAAGATTACAGGACAAAAGCAGTTACATGAAATAACTCGATAATTAGCAGAAAATATTACTAGCCGAGGAACATCAAATCGGCTACACTTCGTAGCTACGAAATGTCAAAAAAGCTTATACGCTGAATTATCACGACATCAGTTAACCAACAAATAAACTCGATTAGTTAAATTCATCATAGAAAAAATAATCAAAAACTTACGAATTAACTCAACACTACGAACCGAAAAATTCAGCCTCAAGAAAAAATGCTCGAAAAATACATTTAAATATTTATAGGCCATCTCAAGAAGACACTAGTAAACTAGCTGCCACAAAACAATCAGCAAAACAGTAAGTCATCAGAGAGTGGAAGCAACCAAATATATTCGGCAAAGACCAAATTAGTGCAGCATGTATTTTTAGCCCATTAATCGGCAATTACGTAAGACAACTAATTACCTAAACATCGAATTAACCCGGCATCAAATTAGAGTAACATCATCAAATTAGAATAACAATAACACCAACTAGGAAAATATTAATTGACATAATATTTAATTAACCCTATATCGAAATTTACGAAATCACAAAGAAATATTTGCCCTGTTATTTCTGTGTTATTTGCGATGCAATAACATCATATCTATACCATTTTCCAAATTTCAATGCATCATAAAAAAACATAACATGTTCCTCATGGGGAACATTCGTCATCAGAAGTCTATATAATATATACGTATCACTCACAAGAAACATCAGGTACACGGCTAAAACATTAGCTGGCATATATTATATTATGAACATGATTGTTATAAAAGGAGGTGGCATAATATTAGGTGTCATATATTCTATTATTAATATGATTGTTTTAAAATGAGGACGAATAAACAATCAGGTAACGAAAAAATAAACTGTACCAAGATTCAACGACTTGAAAAATATATTTTCCTTCTTAATTATTTATGATATTAGTAAGCTGTTTGAAAGCTCCCGTTAATTTTCCGTCATTAGAATGAACACGATTGAAAATAGTTGGAAATAAAGACGGAAAATTTGAATTGATTTTTTAAATATCTATACGAATTACTGTATATATTGACTCTATACGCCCCATGTAAGTATTTCTTGGAATAAAAATTAAAATTTTATACACGTTATGATGTAAAAATATTATATTCATCCGAAAATTAGGCATATATCATATGTTTTTCCTGAATTTCGTTTCAATTTCCTGACGGTTGTTACTGTCAAGCCTACTTCCCAAAAACGATACGTTGCTGGTGAGCGCAAAATGACTTGCATTGATGGTTGATGCCGTGGACAACAACTTTACTTTAGGACGTTCTCTGTAGCCATTTCAGGTCCCTACACTCAATAGCTTGCAACAACGTCAAACCCTGGACCATACCGAGCAATGGCAAGTGCAAAAAAGTGGAAATTCTCTATGAGGCCGGTGTAATCAGTAAATCTTGCTTCAAAGATTACTTACAATATTACCAATCAAGTTTGCTACAGTCAATAGTTTGCGTATAATTTCAATTAGAAGTTATGTTCCCTTAGTTATGTGACATACGGAGGTAGATGGTTAAAAAAAGCTAACGTGTTCAGATATATTCACCTATATACTTTCATTCAGGCACTGATCTATTCTGATTAGAACTCATATGCTCAAATTAGAACTCATCTGCTCCAATTAGAACTCATTTGCCCAAATTAGAACTCGTCTGCTCTAATTACAACTCATCTGCTGTACTTTGAACTCATTTGTTGTAATTAGAACGAATATATTCCAATCAGAACTGATATAGGGTCCTATTCCAATAAGAACTCATCTGCTCCAATTAGAACTCATCTGCTCTAATTAGAACTCATCTGCTCTAATTAGAACTAATCAGCTCTAATGAGAACTAATCAGCTCAAATTAGAACTCATCTGCTCTATTTAGAAGTAATCAGCTCTAATGAGAACTAATCAGCTCTAATTAGAACTCATCTGCTCTAATTACAACTCATTTGCTGTACTTTGATCTCGTTTGCCGTAGTAGAACTGATCTATTCCAATCAACTCATCTGCTCTAATTAGAACTCATCTGCCTAAATTAGAACTCATCTGCTCTAACTGAAACTCATCTGCTATAGTTAGAACTCATCTGGAATAATTAGAGCTCATCTGCTCCAATTAGAATTCATCTGCTCTAATTAGAACTCATCTGCTCTAATTGCAATTCATCTGCTCTAATTAGAACTCAATTAAAATAATTAGAACTCATCTGCTATAATAAGATCTCATCTGCTATAATTAAAACTCGCAGGCTGTAGTTAGAACTTATCTGCTCTAATTATATTCCATCTGCTACAATTAGATTTCATTGCTATAATTAGAACTCATATGCTTTAATTAGATCTCATCTGTTATAATTATAACTCATCAGCTATTTAGAACTCATCTGCTCTAATAAAAACTCATCTTCTCTAATTAGATCTCATCTGTTATAATTAGAACTCATCTGCTATAATTATAACTCATAGGCTGTAGTTAGAACTCATCTGGAATAACCAGGGCCCGTACCTTCAAAACATTTCCAATGGTTCGTAACTTTTACACTTAAGCGCAAAAAGTTAAGTGTGGCGTAAGAACAGTGATTTTCGGTACCTTCATAAATTTCTTTGGCAACACTTATGTAAATCGGTACCTTCAAACACTCCCGCTCAAGAGCCAATCAGCGCGCAGGGTTTTGTTTACATTAAAGTCAGGTTACGTGTAGCATTGATGTCCCATGGTTTCGCAATTTTTATCAGTTATCTTGTCATTTAGACATCGTTGCACAAATTTTGCATAGGTAAATGTCTTTTTTAATAGCAAACGACTACATTTATTGTGACTTTTACATTGTGAACAGTCGAAGTGAAATTTTCAGAAGGTGCACATGAGAAGGACGCGTCTTGCCTGTAATGACTGCGTTGAAAATTGTGCCCATGCGATGGATAATTTTAATTTACTAGTGTCTGTGCAAAGTGGATTCATTTCATGAAATAAACCATTTTGGAAATTACCTCTATTACCTCTTTTGATTTACTTTTGCTGATTTTTTTTATTTATTTTTGCTGAAGCTTAATCAATATTCTTAACATCACTATTAGTTCTCAAACTACAATTTATTACATGCAATGCCTACTTATAATACCATTTTACCTTTATTGATCAAAATTCAGAGAATTGTTTGTTTAAAAAATGGAACATAAAAGAAGAAGACTGAATTTCACAGAGGAAGAACTGATGGCAATAACAACTGCTGCTTTCGAAAGACGTGACATTCTATTTGGCAAGTTAGACGGAAAAATAACTTCAAAAGTTAAGCAGTTGCAATGGCAAGCTGAAACAGATTGTGCGAATTGTGTCTCAACGGTAAAGAGAGATGCAGCAGAAGTCCGTAAAAAATTTTACGATATGAAAACACAATTGAAGAAAAAGGTGGCAGCTGATAACAAATATATTGAATCAACTGGTGAGTGCATTTGTTGGGCAATTCAATGTTCATTGCCAGACAATCTTTTGCGCAGATACGTACCTAGGTATCTACTAACAATGTAATTAAATTTTAATGAATTTGCTGGAGAGTAAACTAATTTTTTACTTATCAAATTAATAGCAAAATACCTTTTGCCAATGAAAGATGATTCACTTGAAATAAGCCTCAGGGCAAAATCAGTTACCTACTTTATCTTTGTCAAACAAATTGATCTTATACCTACTCTAAATCCTAAAATTTAAATCTGACGGAAGCCACCCAATAAGCAAAAGCACACAAGTTCACAAATTAAATAATTTGACCCATGCTCATGGGGTCATGGCCTTTGCAAATTGCTATCATTAAAGTAACAAACTACATTTTTCCAATCATCCAATGTTTTACAAAAGCAATCCATTATAAATGTATATACTTTCAACATACAAACTTTTAGTGTAATATGTTCAAGCATGTCATTGATACTATGGTCATAACAACACTTACAATCACACCTTAGGTGATACATATGAATTTTATCTTAAACTTATTTTGGCTTGACATGTTTCTTCTAATCTCATTTAGGTGGAGGGCCTGCTGTGAATGTGAAGTATTCTGATATTGAAGAGGCCATGTTACCTCTTTTGTCAACAACTGCTGTGTTTGGAATTGGAGTCCCAGAAAGTGAAGTTGATGTTTCAAGTGCAGGTGAGTACAATAGCTAAAGTATCTTCACAATTCCATTATTATTATAATAGAAATGAGAAGTTTAATTCATTTACGTTTATTTTATACTTCTGCTAAGCATTAAGTTTTCACAGATTTTGATGCAGATAAATTTTATTTTATATTGTTGTCACAATGAATTTATGTACTTATCATTGTTCAATAGCTCCCTGAAATCACACATGGATGACAATGAATGATCAATTTACATAGCAATTTCCTATTTCTTACTTATTCATTTATATGAAATAATTGTAATGAAATAATTCAATCTATTTGAATTGAATTGCTAAATAATTGTAAAATTTTTAAATTACAGTCCTTTGATAAGCATTTTGAATGCTAAGTCCGTGCAACAGATCTATGAACTCATTATATATAAATCTTTTTCAATTAGACGGCAGATTCTATACATTAACTGTAAAATGTAATATATTGTTTGCACATGAAGAATTATAAATCTTCACTATATCATAACATCTCTTTGTTTGCTTTTTCAGTTGGACAAGAACAACTTGAGGAGGTCCAAGAATTATGCGAGATTGTGTATTTGGATGGAACTGTTGATGATTTACCTGTTGCTGGGACACTGGCTGCAGATTTTCACAACACTCACGAAGGTCCCTCAAGCATTGATGCTGCTGCTGCTCAAAGGGTCATCAATCCTTGTGATCCATCTTCAACTGAGAGGAGAATTACACCAACAGTGCCTCAAACTTGGACCCTTACAAAGCCTAGAAGGGTCAGGGATATAATGATTTCATATCTGTTTTATTTGTTTACTGCATTTTACATGAAACATAGCACTGCTTATGATTCAGAGTGGTATATTTCGAATTTGTATTATTGAAATGTAAAGATTAATTGTAAATTGGTTTATATGTACCTAATCTATTAGGTATGAAGCAAAAAGGATTTAGTATTTCAAGAAATATAGATATGATTTGCTGGAGTTACTTATTAATTTCCTTGCAGCATGATGAAATTCATTACATGTCTATTTACAATTGCGTATTAGAACAGTTATTAATAAAAAATGGAGTTGTGTCACAGTTAATAAAGTAAGGAGGTAGGTAATCTTGAAGGTAATGATATGCCACATTTATATATAAGCCCCGCTTGAACAGAAAAGTGCAAATAACAATTAATTGTAAACTTGTAAACTACGGTTATTCTGTTTATTCTAGCCTTGGAAGAAATTTTCAACTAATGCAGTGCGAACTTGTCTGCCAAGACCTCTAGCGGGTTGACCCTGATCTTGCGCATGGTGTACTTCTTCTTGATCTTGATGCTGGAGCTCCATAGGGTCTCCTGCATGTTCATCCACAGGATTTGGGATGTTCCTCTTGATGCATCGATTATGGAGTAACAAACAGGCTGCAATAATCTTGGAACATTTAAGAGGCTCATATTGAAGGTTTCCTCCTAATGGGATAGGAAGAACACATTCTCTTTAGATACCCATGATAATAAATATGCAATAATGATTATTTTCATACTGAGGCATGAGTTTTAAGTAAATATTACCCAAACCTATTCTTTAGAGTCATGTCATTAAAAATGTTAAGAGTTGTATAACCTTCAATGCTCTCCAAGGAATAATGTTTGTATACAAAGGTTTTACAATTAATTATACTGAAAACATTACCAAATTCTCACCTGATCGATGCAAGCACCTGAATCTTGACTTCAAGACTCCAAAGGTTTGTTCAATGATTACTCTTGTTCTTGTGTGGCATCTATTGAATTCTTCTTCGCCTCGTAATACAGGGTTGGCAAATGGCGTCATCAGAAATGTTTCAAGTGGATAACCACTATCTCCTGTAGGCAAATAGAACAAGCCATGTCACACACAGATAATGAACTTTATTTTTATACATTTCTTTCTGCATTAAATTCTTCAATTCATTATGAGGCTACACCTACACCAATACATGAAATAATATTCACTTTTTACTTTTTTTGGTATACAGCATAGAATGATGATTAGATTAGGTGGCTTTTGCAAACTTGCTCAAATAGGCATTTATTTATCCAACTATCCTTAACAGGGATCAATAATTTGTTAGTAATTCATAGAAAGGTACCTACTCCAAAATTGCCATTAGGAATATTGATGCCTCTGAATCACAGCTTAATGTTCAGTATCATGCATAAGTAGTCATCATTAGAATTTGTTAAATTGTATCATTATTTAGGTAAAGCAACAAATATTACAATGAACATTCATTTTAGATACTGAATTTAATAACTGTTTGTTCAATTTAATACAGATAATGAGTTCAACTTACCCAAGAGTATTGCATCTCTGAATTCACCCCGTTGAAATCTGGTTCGAAGTGTGCTGTTGTTCCAAATGTAAGCATCATGTGTGCTGCCAGGAAACTTTACAACATAGTTTATGATCATTCTATGAGCATCACAAACAACTGGGATATTTAAAGAATGGAATTTTTTTATGTTGACAAAAATTGCTTCATCATCAGTTGGTGCCTTGATTGGCACATGAGTACCATCTATGGCTCCAATGATTCTTGGAAAGCCAGCCACAGCATGGAAATCCCTCATGGTCTGGTGGAGCTGAAGTACACCAGCAGGCATTTTTATTTCATTTCTAGCTTTTTTTTCTAGAATGTTTGATACCAATGTAATGATTTTACTGACACTTTGTTGTGAAAGGCCACTGCTATCAGCTATAACATTTTGGAAAGATCCACTGGCATAGAAACGTAGAGCTACTAAAATTTGAGTGCCTACAGGAATAGCATGAGATCTGAAGGTGTTTCTCTTGAGGAGGGGCTCAAATTCTTGAATCATATCCACAATATCTTGACGTGGAAACCGGTATTTCTTAATCAGTTCTTCATCACCAAGATGCAAAATATCCAATGGGTCTCTGTACACCCTTTCTCTCCTTAATGCTCGCTGGTACTCTAATGCAATTATTAGTTCCATACTTATAAACTTAGAAATTGATCTGTAGAAAATGGATAGGTAGTACAGTTGATCAAAGACAAATTTTATGGAAACCTGCAAACAATTTTCAAATACTGTAAATTTTGATATAGTGCATACTAAAAAAAGCTGAGTGATATTTTTAAACTAAGAAAATTCTAATTTGACCCATGGTAAGCTTAAAATTGAGAAAAGCATTGACTTTCAAAGAAGTTTTTTTCCCTTTTGTCTGATTTGGTTTACTTTGTAAGAATTTTTCCACCAAACTGCGTATTATGGTGTCATGAATTAGTATTATGATGCTATGGCAAGTCACAATAAAGCTTGAAATATTAACGAGCCTCGTGAGGATGATACTGACAGAGTGACAGGCTGATATGTGACCATTACTAGCTTTCAAATCTTTGTGAAGCCATAAGATTACACCCTGGCACTGGCAGTGGCAGTACCAAATTTTCATTTGCTATTTTCAGACAAACTTCAATAATCCTACTAGGTTTGAATCAAATTCAAATAGTGAGTAAGCTAAATTTAGCTAAATCAGATTCTCAAAACAAGGGCTAATTTATATAAACGTTATTCGTGACCATGTAATAGGTAATTTCCTTCCATGATTAAAGACAACAACATTCACATGCTACAGGAACTCAGGAAGTAGGCCTAATACATGGAAATTACCAAAGTTTTCAAGGAAATACAAGGTGTCCCCTATTCACCAAGTCGCAAAGAAATAATTTCCAAAATTAGGAATAAGGATTGACAGATCGCTTCATAATTCATGGAACCATTATCTTCAAAAAATCGAAACTATTTCGTGACAACAGAACAGTCATTCGATATTTCGCCTTAAACCTTTTCTTCTAATTTTTCACTTTTATAGAGAATAAATCACAGCTCGAGGTCAAGTTCAACACTAATAAAATTGGTCGACTTATAGCGCAACATTTTACTTGGTAATGAATAGATGAAAGTCCCACATATTTCACTGCGGAATCAACCAATAATTTCCAATCGCTTCTCCCACTCGAAAATTACACGTAACTCCACTTACGAGTCCTCCCTGGCAGTCATAAAGTTAAGCAACAAATTTTGGACGTAGCTTCTTCCGGAAAATTTTGAAGGTACCGCTTTTCGGAGTTGCGTGTCCTTAGCGGACTTACGTAGTTTTTAAGTCGCTAAGTGCACTTTCGAATGTTTTGAAGGTACGGCCCCAGATCTCATCTGCTATAATTAGAACTCAAGACTCACTTCACGGAGCGTTTTCCCCCAAATCTCTGCTTGGCCGGAGAACCCCCCTCCTCTGCAGGAACTAGGGGTGCATTCCCCCTGAACCTGTCCTGCATCCTGGCATTCATTGAAGATGGCGCCCTGACACCACCTCAGTTCCCCCAGTAAGTTTAAGTTTGAGAATAAAATTTTGTGCACCCATGTTCTAAAGTGTAGGTTTCAAATTGATTCCTTGAAATTTTCATGCACTGTTGGTTGTTATTGCCTTGATAGTGGATTGTGAGCAAACGAATCATGCAAGAGTAACCTGCCACGCCAGGTTAACCTGCTTGCTATACCTATTGCTTACGACTTCACATGCGCCGGCAAGTAGCTCGTCGGTGCACCACACATTCATCACACTACCACAGGTTGATGAGTACAACAGATGTAGCTCTTTGGTACATAATACCCAAATAAAAATTAAGAGTGGAGCACCTATGATTATTAGGTGGGCCAGGTGGATTATTAGTGGCGTACTGATGTGTGGCCTCTTCAGCCATCACACGATAGTAACACACCAATAAATCGAGAAGTTGCGTGACTTCAGGCGAAGTTTACTGACGTTCCATCAATGATTTGAAGGTTCCTAATTCATTGATGATGCATTGTATGTAGATTTACTACGAGTGGCCATCCTCAATACGTTTTGAAAAACCACCAATAAAATCTAATGCCGTGAGTTCTGTTCTTAGTTAAATTATTTTATTTGAAATGAAATATAAATCACGAATAAGTCATCAAATGGTAGGTAGTTTCGTGAAGTATTCAGTAACTTTGTTTCACTAACTATAACTAATATTGTTGTTTGAGTGTCAATTATAGCATCCACTGCATTTCTAAGATGGTAAAAACTTAATTGATAACATAATTATCTCATCCTTATTCGACATAAAAAATTTAACTTGACCTTCCTGGTATGGAATCTTCTAAGTTTTCTCTTCCAGGGTAACGAAACAGAGTTATAACCGTTAGTTAACTCGAACAAAGAAACCATCAGGATACATTAGAAGAAATAAACTGATTGTGTCCGTTTTATTGTGAATATTTTATTTAATTCTGTCAACTCGTAGTGTAATTACGCCAACACTACCCGACCAGACCCCTATAAGTATGCCCCTATTAGGTCGGTCAAAAATTGTAATAGATGAGCAGAGTAATATTATAAATACTCATTAATGCTTAGTAGAATCATAAATTCTCATATCACATTATATTTGTGGAACGATTACATGTCATTCAAAGTATTGTGTAATCTAGGTTTTTATATTCGGGAAATAGATAACTATGATTTGATACTTCTTAGTGGTTGTATGAAATTGGAGGTAGACATGCATGTGTAGACTACAAGTTGAGATCACAATTTGGCCCGCAATTAACGCAGATTACTTGAGGTAATGTATCATTCTAATACATTGAATTATATTTAAAATGCGAATAGTAAAAACTGACCAAAATAATTAAATTGTTCGAACTCTGTATTTGCGTTTTTATCGATCCGTTACCATCTAAGTTATTGTCATTTATCCTGAAAACTATTCGACCTTCACGACCTTCATCAATGATTGGTGTATTGCATCATTCACCAAATCATGGCTTGGCCATGGATCAGAGATAAAATATCGCAGCAGAAGCACTTCAATACCTAGATGTTTATATATTAATAGATTGGTCCCGTTGAATTCACAATCTAATCAGTTGTTTCTTCAGGAGTTATCTCATAGCTTCACATTGACAACTATTACCAGCAATAGAATGATATTTTCATATCTTCTCTCAAATCTGTGTATGTAACGTTTTACATTCCAATTAGGTGTGTAACCGTTACAAATTTGATATAAAAAACTACAGTGGATCTTCTTCTGACTAAACGCACTTAATGAGTTTCTGTTTTGACTCGTGCTCATCGGATAGGCGGGGTAGCCGGTAGCTGTTTCAAGTTCGTGTGGAAATGCGCGTGTGGTGTGAGCATATTTCTTTGTCTTACCTGTTTAAATTTGGTCAAAATTAAGTTTATTCTGCGTAAAAAGTTGCAACGCGGGATCAGGACAATTTTTTAGTGTCTTTCACGACTTTTGTACACGTTTCATTTGTCAATTGTGTGGGATCACCATTATTTGACTACTCAGGATTAGTAATGGCGATCCCACCGCACAGGTCAACCTCCTAGACCTGGGCGATTCTCATATGTTAGCTCGTATTTCATAATAAAAATCACTGAAGGTTGAAACTGCTCCTGTGAGTTATCGTTAGGCAGGATATAATTTCGTATGCAGTGCATTTTTAGTCGTAATTTAGCGTATACACTGAATGAAATAGATTAGGTAATAGAATGAACTTATTATATTGCATTCATCAGTCCTCACGTTAAAAAGGCGTTGCGGCCTGGCGGCCATGACACCATCACCGGCTTTGTCGCTACGACGCCAGTGTTTTTGCATTATTTATGATTCCTAAAAATATAAATCAAAACAGGAAAAAGCAAATAATGCATTTGTACAGTGAATCAGAGTTTCGTTTAGTCACTTTAGTGTGACTGAGGGCTGAGGCTAGAAAACAACTAGGAATTT